ACTTTCCATCACCATGGTCGAGGCCTATGGGTTTGATTTGGGAAGGGAACCCAGCTGCATCCAAACCTCTTTTGATGATGTCGTTAATGGCAGCATGCTGCGGAAAGTGGCCGGCACTATGACGACAGGAGAGAGGATGCAAACCAAACTCATCGATGGAGGCTCCACATCTGCATCTGTGATGCTCACATATTTTGAGTCCAAGAAATGAAATTAAATCTGAAGAGTTCAAAGCAACCATCAGTATTTGTAGCCGAGGGACTTAGATGCCAACAGGAGCAAGAAAAATACATCTTTTTGCTATCAAAGTCACCAAGGAAAGAAGAAAATCTTTTCAAATCTTGTGCTGCCTGTAATTATCATTAGGGGATGGTAATTCAATATCTTGACACCTGTGATTATCATCAGGGGTTGGTAATCCAACAAGTTTTAGTAAATGTTGTTACAGAAAATACAAGCATTCTAACAGTTTACAGAAAATACAAGCATTCTAACTTAGAAAGGTTAGCATGTAGTTTCATTTATTGTCTTTTGATTTCAAGCTGTTTCTCTTAATTTATAGATGAATTAGTGTTTACTAATTACCACCTGTTGCAAAATCATATTGTCATCTATTTTCAGCGGTAACAAATTAAAAGATTTTTTAATTCACTCAACCAACATTTACAAACTTTTTTAATACATTGTGACTTATGTCTGCAAAATTGAAATCTTAACTTAAATTTTATTCTTCGCTGTTTTTCTTGAAAGCTGCTGTTTATTTTTTTTATATATATGTTGAGCTTCTCGCTTGCAAAACTTTTAACATGACTCTTTGTATACTATGTTATTAATTATTATTACAACTTCTGTCACCATGTTGTGTCCATTCTCCCTTTGATCTCATCTCTCTCTCCTTGCCTTCTCTCTATGACCTCCTCTCTCTCTCACCTTGTCTTCTCCCTATGACCTCATCTCTCTCTCACCTTGCCTTCTCCCTATGACCTCATCTCTCTCTCACCTTGCCTTCTCCCTATGACCTCATCTCTCTCTCACCTTGCCTTCTCCCTATGACCTCATCTCTCTCTCACCTTACTTCATCCTTTTAAAACTCCTCTCTCTCTCTCAACTTCTTTTTTTTACCCTTCTTAATTTACATTGTCCTCTACTTTTCCCCCACCCTCATGTTTATCTTCATCCTTTTACGTCTTCTGTCTTTTATTTTTCACTATCATTCACTCATTTGATTTAACTTCTTAGATTAGTTTTCTTTTGATTGTTGTTGTTTTTTTGTTTTTTTTTTAATTTTCCTTTGTTTCATTTTTTTTTTTTTTAAGGATTAATTTTTTTTTTTCTCATTCATAAAACAAATCTTTTTTGCACTTTGCTCTTTGGTTGCTATTATTTTTTAACTCTTTTTTATTTTTTTTTATTTTCATCTATTTATTTTGTTTTGTTGCTTGAAGCAATATACAATGGCTCTATTACTTGTCTTTCATGATTTCCACACAATCATAAAGGAAATTCAACATCACATTATTATTGAACACAAATAACAAAAGAACAGAGAGCACCCTGCTACTGCCCCCTGGGTAAAAAAAAAAAAAAAAAAAAAAATCAACATTGGAGTAAATATAGAAATGAACAAATGTATACAAAATAGATTTTAATGAAAAATTTGATCATTTCATCAGAAAACACACAAAAGTGTATGCTTTCGCTTTTCTTGATGAGACTTGTAAATTTGAGTTATCTATTCACTGGGCTGAAGAATTAACCACAAAAAAAAAAAAAAATGATAAAAAAGCACAAAGAATTCAAAATAAATAATAACTTAAAAAAAAACTAAAACATTAAAAAAATAAAAAAGATGAATACACACAAAATAATCAAATTTGTTATATTTTTTATAAATTTTCATTGTCGGAAATTTTTATTGACATTGTTAAGTTAATCTCTGTCTTATAATTTTTCCCTTAAATATTTCTATTTATACAAACATAATTTTGATTGGACTAAAGAAAAATAATACTTCAAAGAATCCTAGATTTGCAATGTTTGCTCTTAGGAAGAAATTTTTTTTTATATTCCCTTAATATGGCAATTCCTCCTTTTATGTACTATAACCCTTCATGAAGTGTATGATCATAGCTTTCTCTAACTTTCTACAGCAGAAATACCTCCCACATATACCTCCCAGAAACACTTCCCACATAATGGCAAGACATTAGATAGATGAAGACACCATTGACACTAATGTCATACCATTATGCAGGAGGTATTTCTGGGGGTTATTTCTGCTGCACCCTGTATCTTTTGTAACTCTAAGCAATGTTTATACCCTTGCAATCCCTCTGAGTCCCTGCCCTGCCATTCATTTAGACAACATTGTTAGGTAGGTTACTCGCTGCTTTTTTTTTTTTCTGTCCCTCTTGCTTTTAATATGTCCCATGACTGTCAAATTCTCCAAGTTTTTTTTTTTATCTCACATATACCTTAACAGTGTATTTCTGATTACAAGTATAAGTATCCTGCCTAACAAGCTTGTATTAAAAATGGCAGAATAGGGCCTGGGAGGTATATAAAAGACAAACACTACTAAGAATTAAAAAGGATAAAGAGTTGTGGAGAGCTACACATCCTAAAAGGACATGACATAAAGAAGAAGAATAATAATTTGATGTGACTAACTTTATTTTCTACTAGCTTAAAAGCTGCACTCCCCGTGTAGATTTTTAAGCTAGCTGCGAAGTAGGGCTAATTGTACCTCTGGCCCCAAACTAAAGAAACCTCTGGTCCAGCTTAGAAAACAGCAATGATAATTTTGAAGAAATAACTTTAAATTCCTCAATTCACACCATGGAACTTTGAAACCTCTCTTTAACTCTGATTTGTGCTATAAGTCCAAGACCCATTTGGTATGAATGTCCGATTTAGACCCAAACTCAGACTCAGGTTGAAAATTGAGTTCTTCAAATGACAAACTCTGTGGGACTTTGAAATTGCATTGAGTTCTTCAAATCATGAGTTCTACTGAACTTCAAAACCTTATGTCATGAAACCTCACTTTAACTCTGATTCCTCGGCATTTTGAAGAAATAAAATTGAGTTCCTCAATTCACAAAGTTTTGGAGATATCTTAAACTGAATTTTAAAAAAAAAATTAAATTCAGATTTTTTTTTTTTTTTTTCTACTTTAAACTGAATATAAACTAAAAACTTAAAAATAGCTAAATTTTTTCAGTTATTTTAAAATTTGAAATTTTAACTGTTCCCTCATCATCCAGACACAAATCTGATTGCTGAATGGTATGTTTTTAATCCTGCCTTCATCCTAATTCAAAAAAGGTATAATATGTCTATGTAGAGCAAGTGTGGCTCAAGGTGTTTCAGACACACAGACTGACAGACAGAATTTGCCATTTATTTATTTAGAAGATAGCAGATTACTGCTTGTAATCTTGATAACACTGACTTTATTAGGATAATCACTAGAATGAGATTCCACTCCAACAACATGTATTTTTTGCAAAATTTTTCTTGTTGAGTGGGTGGTTATTTTTGTTCTAGTTTTCTTTTCAGTCGATTCTGCAAGTTTTTTTTATTCTTGTTTTTAATGCCATGTTTCCCCAAAGATTTTCCATTGTTATCTGCAAACTGCTCTGCATTCTTAGTAAACATAGAATGGTTTTCTGTTGCTTTCTCCAGAGTTTGGAATTTTCCATATTTTAGACTGACTGGCTGCCACTCAAGGCTAAAGAGCCCAATATATCCTGCCATTTAACCCAGGGCTGGTGGGAAAACATATAGATTCATACCTTTCCAAAAGGAATTCCACAAGTGAGCAATTAGATTTAAATCCACTGACATATTAAGACAAATGAGTCTTTCTGCCTCTTCAAGAACTGGTTTCCAGTAGATTTTTCTTGATCATTGTCAGGTTCTTATTCTTCCTAAACTTTTGAATGAAGACAACATGTCTTCTTTCAATATATTGCCATAACCAATAGCATTCAAAATTCCATTGATGAAAGGTGTTATAAAGTTGTTTTTTCTTATTTGTAGAGAAAAATAACATTCAAGTTCTTTCTCATGTGGAGCCATTAATAATCTAAGGTACTGTAAACTAAATACTATAACCTATTTTTAACATGGCATCCTTTATAGTTAAATCTGTTAAAAAAAATCATTAATGATTTAAAAATATATTTAGTATATAGAAGAAAATAAATGATTTTACAGGCATGTTCTCACAGGGATCATAACATATTCATATTTTTAACAACAGAAATTTGATGTTGTAGGATTTGGTTATTGATAATAATCATTTTGACTGCATAATTTTCCACTAGAAATAAAATCCTGCTCTGTTTGGTTTAGAAGAAAATTAACTTTCTATAAAAATAGTAAGGATATATTCATTTATGGCCAATACTGTATTTGTTCTCTAAAATAGAAATGTTCTGAGTATTAATGGATGAAATAGCAATAATTCATTACTCCTTGTAAGTCTATAAGTAATATTCATGATAGAAATCCAAATAAATAGCTGAAAATCTAAAGGAATATTTGAATTATGAATCATTATTATTATTATTATTGTTGCTGTTGTTATTATTACTCAAATAGAAATCGTGCTTGTTCGAATAGGGATGGTCAGAGTAAACTTACCCTAATAACTTATCTATGTATTCTTTTATTATTTTTCATTATGATTTTTTGCCTCGTTTTGCATTTTTTTTTCCTCATTGGAAATGAATTGATTAGATATTGTTTACAAGCAGCCATTTTGATGGCACAAATCAAAGCTGGTTTTATTTTGCCTGATATTTATTTGTTTTATCAGAACCAATGTTTGTTTTCCCTATTTGTACCAGGCAACACCCTCATGAAAAAAAATTCCATTGTCAATTTATTGTTTTTTTTTTTGTTTTGTTTTATCTCTGATCTACCCATGATTATATCTACCCACCATATCAATAGTCCTTTCTTGGCATTTTTTTTTTTTTCTGAAGGGATCACTAAGAAATCTGAATATCTACCAACGATGATTTGCAATAAGTCCCAAAGACATTATTGGGTTTTAGTAAAAGAAGATTTGAGGAAAAGGAGAACAGAAGTAAGGAGAAAATGGAAGACAAAGCAATGTAAGGAAAAAAGAAGATAAAATGAAACAAGAACAAAGAAACAGAAAAAAGTAAACAATGTAAAAAAAAAAAAGGAATATACAAAAAAAGGAAGAAGCTGAATGAAAGAAAAAATAAAAGAGAAATAAAAGAAAAACATGCTAATGGAAAAGCTTAGTAAAAAAAAAAAAAGGGGGAGAAAAGAATGAAAAAATAAAAAAAATAGAAAGAAACATAAAAGAAAGAAAAATACAGAAAAAAAAACAAATCTAAGTTACCACTTTTGCTGCATTTGTCTATTTTGTCTTTGGTTTTTCAGATGTTCACCTTCTTGTTCAGAATTTACAGTTGTTGCTGCTGTTGTCAGTGAAAACGATTCCAGGTTTTGGTATTCTTCTCCTAAGTTTTATCATCTGTGAATATTACTTTTTTTTAATTCTTTTTAATAATTCTTACCATATTGTTTCTATTTTTCAACTGAAGTTGATACTAATGATAATGATGATGTTGAGGAAGAGATGGAGAATAAAGATGATGTTTTTGTTTTCATATTTCTTTTCTTTTTTTTTTCCTGTTTTGCAAATGCTCTTGAAGTGTCCAAACCTTTACCCAATTCAATTCTTTGATCCTTTATATTTTTTCTAGTCTCATATCATAAGCCACTTGATTATTTCCCTGTTCCTGAATGTCTTTAGTTATCTGCCTGATATCTTCATAAAAGAATGATTTCATTCTCCTTTCTCACTTACTTTCAGTTTGCAACTTGCTTGCTGGCAGCAATTGCATTGAGTTTTCCTTCAAAACCAGTAGAACATGTTTGATTCTAGGCAAACATCTAAATTTTAAATTCTCTTAGTCAGGAATGACATAAACAAATTTCTTACATAACAATTATTACACCCACCTTATAAAATCTTCAAATACTCCCACATAGTGTTGAATGGTTTCGCAGGCCCCCATGACACGTTGATGAAGCGTCTCTGCATTATTAATGTCTGCTGCATAAACCAATTACTTTAGGTGGCCCCACAGATAAAAATCCAAAAGATTGAGGTCGAGGAAATATGCAGGCCATGGAACTGGTCCTCCCCTACCTCTCCATCTTCCGTGGTAGATGTCAGCTAACAATGTGCTTAAAATGTGTTGGAGCCCCATCATGCATGAACCAGATGCATCTTTGTAACAGCAGGGGTACATCCTCTAGCAGGTTTGGAAGTGTGTTCAAAATAAAGTCCCTGTAGACAGCTCATGTAAGATAGGCTTAGGGAACAGATGGACCTACCAGGCAGTCACCTACATTTCCAGCCCACACATTAATTGTGAACTGATGCTGGTGTCTAGTCTATATTGTACTATGGGGATTGTGATTCATTCACAGATATTGGCTTGGTAAATTTGTTATTCAATTTCTTCCAAATGTTGCCTCATCCATAAACCAGACTGAAGAGACAATCAACAAATCGGCAGGTTGTGGAATAAACCATTGGCAAAAGTTCTCCCATGGTGAGGGATCAGATGGTAAAAGATCCTTCACACATTGCAAATAATACGGAGCTGCTCTTGAAGTATCCCCTATGTGATACTATGAGGTGTATGACAAGCTAGGGCCACTCGACATGTGCTGATATGTGGTTTGTCTCCAACAGCCTGTAGAATGTGTTCTTCATGGTCAAGCGTATGAGTGCATCTTGGTCTTCCTCAATCCATAGTTTATCATGGCATGGATCCTGTCCCAGTAGTAATGGTTGGATGATTCAGTTGCCTTCAGTCTGGAAACGCAATATGATATAGCCATGAAGCCTTGCACCAATTACTATTTTTATGGTCATACGTAAAAATCATATATGCCTGTCATATGAATATTCTGCCACTGTTAAACAGAACACTTCTCAGTTAACTCACTACTACATATGTTAAATGTTGAAGAGAGACTAGCCACAAATGTACACGAATGACAAATGTAACTTAGTCTACATGGCAATGCAGTACCATCTACTGCAAACTATCTTTAAACTTAATAACACAAAAACGAGTGATTTGTGAACATATGTTTATATGGACTTTTGTCCTGGTTTTGATGTGAAGAACCCACCCCCAAAGTTTGTAAAAGTATTTTTGATACACTCTGTGTATGTGTGTGCATATATGATAAAAATATAATTTTAAGGTATGCTATATTTACATGTTAAAGTGCTCAATATTAGGGATAGAGCATATGTAAATATAAAAGTTGACATGGACGTCAACACCCAGTGGCATCAGTCTGCTTCAATCTGGCCTGAAGATTGCATTTAAATATGAAACAGACTATTGTGGATTGACATCAGTGTCTCTCTGTCTCTTTCTCACTCTATATATAAATGAATAAATATAAAAATATAAAAGTGAACATTGAAGTCAACACTCAGAGGCAACAGGATGTTTCATGCTAGACGCAATCGTCAGGCCACCGATTGTGTCTAGCTTGAAACAGCCTGTCACCTCTGAGTGTTGACTTCAATGTTCACTTTCATATTTTTATATTTACATACGCTCTATCTTTGATATTAAGCACTTTATCCCAGAAATATAGCATACCTTAAAACTGTATTCCTTTTTATATATATATATATATATATATATATATATGGTTGTTTTTTCTATATATAAGTATATGCTGATATATTTATCATTTTCTTCAAAATATGTATTAAATTATTAATAAATAATAAACATGGTTGGGCTAAAACAGACACACACATATATATATATATATATATATATATATATATATATATATATATATATATAATGTTTGTGTATATGTTTCTCCCCATACCAGTATATTCAACCATTAAAAATATGTTATATCTAATTTTTATTTATATAAATAAAATGATTCTGTGTGTGTGTGTATATATATATATATGTGTGTGTGTGTGTGTATGTGTGTTTGTTCGTTCGTTCATGTGCCTCTGCAGTTGCATGCCTAAGAAGGCATTGCTTTCTCAATCCTTGATTTGTTATATATTTTTTTCCTTTTTGATAATACCAAGTGGCTATTTTGTCAGTTTCAGCAGATTAAAAAAATCAACAAGAAATCTTCGATATTTATTTCAAGATAGGAAATGGTGGGAAAAAAAATGACAAAAATATTAAGAAAAAAAATTGGGGCAAAATATTGGAAAGCAGTAACATGAGAGGAAAATAAACATTTTAATTTTTTTTTTTTTTTTTTTTCACTAACCTTTGGCTATACTCTCTAGTTTTGGTCTTGGATAGTTTCACTTCTGAGACACAGCCATGATATTCAAAACAGTGAATCACTAACCTTAATATTTGGAGATAATCAAACTACTAAGTTTCTATGAAACAATAAAATACATCATCATATTGGGTGACGTAAAATGGTCATTCTGTTTATTAAGTCATGATAAAAGACAAATATTCTATTTTCTGCTTTATTTTTATTGAACATGTTTACAATTTTGTTCTACTATCTTCTACCATCTTTTAGCAAACTTAATATTTCTCCCACAACTTATCTTTCTAACAAAATATCGACTCCAGTTTCATTTTGGAATCTTGCTTACATTTAAAATTCTTTTTTATTAAGATAATTCTATGAAAAAAAAAAAATTATTAAGAGAATCCTATTTAAAAAAAAAAACACTTTTCATTAAGAGAATTTTATTTTAAAAATCATTTCCATTAAGAGTTTTGGTTTGTTTTGTTTTACAGGATATCAACCACAATGGGTTAAAATTAATGCTGAAAAATTTTTATTGCTAGTAATATTTTGTTTTGTCAAAAACCTATTTCTGGTAATATTTTTCCTTCAAAAAATGTATTGCTGGTAATAATTTTTTTCAAAAAAGTATTGCTGGTAATATTTTTTTCCTCAAAAATGTATAGCTTTTCAAAAACATTGTTGGTAATATTTTTTTTTTTCCTTCAAAAAAATTTTTCTGGTGATAATATTTTTACAAAGTATTTCTGATATTAAAACCTATTTTTACACTTTCATAGTGTTTTTACCCCAGTTTCGGGGGTTAACTATTTACCCATAGCTGGGACCCTAACAGGTGCTACCACTCCGGGTCAGGGTGGACATGCAATTAAGAGGTGATTCCACACCCCTCAAAACCTCCTGATCAGAGGCCTTGCTGCTGGACATAGTTTATCGTCTTAACCAGGACGTGGATGCAATTTATCATCATAGCCAGGACGGATTCATTAAGAGAATTCTGATTTTTTAAAAAATCATTTTCATTAAGAATTATATTTTAAAAACAAATAATTTTCATTGAGAGAATTATATTATTAAAATCAGTTTCATTAAGAGAATTTTATTTTTAAAAATCATTTTCATTATTTATTTTGTGTTGCTGCTTTTGATAAGACTATTTATGAGCAGGACCTGTTTAAATTGATTCTTTGGTTCTCAAGAATTAGCACATTGTACTTGTGAACATTTTAATTTTTTATGTAGCCATGTTTAAAACTTCCACAAATATATTGAAGTGTAAAAGCAATGAATGGACAATGCTTAGTATATTCCAAACACCCAGGTAATATGCCAGAAAGCTTATTTATGACTGTGGCATTGGGAGTTTCAGGTCTCTAAAAACATCAGACCACACTGTTTCAGCCAGGAGTAATCAGCCTCTAAAATGGATCCATGAATATTGGGCTTGGCCATTTTATTGATCTAGTTTTAATCATTTCATCAAAAGCATGACAATAATACCACTAAGATGTGAGTGGTTACTGAGAGTGAAAGGAAAAATAAGAAAAGACAATAAAAGAACAGGATTCAGGAAGACAGCTTTGAAGATTTTGAGTATCACAGGTGACAGGAAAGCAAGAAATATATATATATATATATATATATATTTAAATATAAAAGTCTACATTGAAGTCAGAACTCAGAGGCGGCAGACTGTTTCATGCATTGTGTTTTTTCTTGACTATATATACAAGTCAGTGATGTATTGCATTGTGAGTAGTCTTTTTTAATGATTATTTTGACTGGACTGGTTTGTTAATTTGTTTATTATTTACTTTATTTGTATTAATTTATTTTTGCTTATTTATTTTTCTTTTATTTCTTTTTATTTATTCTTTTAAGATTTCAATTTTTAAGTGACATCATAAAAATTTGTTTTTGTGTTTGCATTTTGTGATGAAATCTGATCATTTATCTAGTAGTTTTTTTTTTTTTTTTCTTTTTTATCTGGGAAGGTAATTACCGCTATTTTTCCTCCAAGCAGAGTTTGCAGTTTTTGGATTGATTGTTGCAGGCTGATGTTCTTTTCCTTATTTTCCATGATATTTTTGGTGTGATTTGTTTTTAATTTCCCAGATATATTTGGTAAGCATTGTGCTGTTCACGTATTTACTATTTATGATATATGTTTGTGCATGTAGTTTCTTTGCTTCCAGGGTCTTTCAGTTACTCTTATGTATATTTTTTATTCATTATCTGATGATTTACTGTAATAATTGGTATATTACATTGTTTTGTATACAATTACCATTTAAGGGACATTCATCCTTTATTCTGCAGTTACACAGTTTAATTTGTTTGGGTAGTTTATTGATAGTTTTCTTATATTAGTTTAGTATTTGTGCCATGACTTCTTTCTGTCTTTTCTACAAATATTTTCAAGGCAACTGTTCTGTTGAGCTGTTGATTTAGCTGTTGATTACAGGAATTTAAGCATGCTACCAGACTGACAAGTTGATCTCACTGTTTTACTGTTGCACTAGCTAGATTTAACTACCACTTCTATTCTAATAGTTGCTTTTCTCACCTGTGGAACTCCCTTCTAATTTCTTGATTGTCTTTGGCCTACAATCTTCAAAAATTTAAATGCAATATCAATCACCAACTTCTTTCTTCCTGAACCTTTTTTCTTTATCCTTTCCTCACTTCTGCTCACTAAAGTCTCCCACTCCCTATTTCCTAGTGGCATTATCACTTTACTTGTGATGAAATGATTAAAAAATGCTTTCATTACTTTCTTTTCCTTTTTAGATGAGTTCAAATTTTCAATCCCTCAACCCTCCTCAAGTTCATATTTAGATTATGATAATCTATTTTTATGAAAAGTTATAATTCTAAACCTAGAACTGTTCATATCTAGTCTTATGATTAGTAGGAAATGTTTTTCCTAAAAGAAATTATTTTGTATAGCTTATAATAAGAATTGAATTTTGATACAAAGACGAAAATTATTGTTTTCTTTTTACTCAAGAATCCTTACAGCTAATGTTGTGGCCATCTTTTGCATTTCTTGAGCACTTTTCTCCACATTGTCACTATTTTTTGGAGTTCTATATTTTGTATAGTTGTACATTCTATGGATCTCTTTTTCTTTTGTTTAACTTTTCTTATAAGGATCTTTAGACTACTTCCAGAGTACCTATGAATATAGGAGAAAATTTATATTGTTTCTTTTGTTGTTGTTGTTATTACTGTTATTATTATTATTATTATTATTACTGTTATTATTTCTCTTATTTTTCTTGATGTTTTTATGTATTTTTATCATTATTCTATCATTATCATGTTTTTATTCCAGTGGCATTTGTTTTCTTAATTGTTTCCTTTACTCATTTGTCATCATCAATCTAATTATTTTCAGTTATTCTCATAAGAATGATGATGATGATGATGATGTTGATGATGATTATTATAGTAGTAGTAGTAGTGGTGGTGGTGATTTTGTTGTGATGATAGCATTTTTTTCTTTTTTGTTTTCTTTCCCTCTTTGGTAACTTTTTCTTTCTTCTATTTCTGTAGTTATTATTTCTTTTATCTTACACATCAACACTTATTGTTGTTATCAAGTACTTTTCTTGGTTGAAAACCCCCATGTCCAACACCACTGCATCCACTGACTATGTTTCTTACCCATATTATCTGTACCTGTAGTTACTTGTATTATTGCTGGGGTTTTGTTGGTTTTTTTTTGTTCTACTGAAGAAGCATTGTAGTATATTCTAGTATTTAGTAACAGTCACCTCTCCACCACCTCACAAGCAAAAAATTTCATCCATGAGGTGCATACTCTTCTTATCATAAGAGAGTAAATAAAAGGTAAAGATGATAAAAAAAAAATGACTAGAATTGATTTACAATATTTCTTTCTTTTTTATTACCTCTTACATTATATTAGTCAGAACAAGTTTTTTTTTTCTCTTTCTTTCTGCTTTTTACAAAAGGATACAGAATGGTGTTTATTCACTCTTAGAAACAGAAAAATGTGACTTTCTTCTATAAGTAAAAAAATAAATAAATGAAACTTTTCTAAGCCGCTGTTCAGTCTCAATGCCAAAAATGATGTCCCATCTTTCCCACCTTTTAACAGAGGAAGAGCATGGAACTATCCCCACAAAAAATTTACTCCACAAAACAATATAACACGTCAATCAGATGACAGTCAAAGCAACAATAAAATAACAAAAAAAATATATATATATATATATATATATATATATATATATATATATATGACCAGAACAGACAGAAAAGTATACAAAGATCTTCTTTCTTACTTAATTTTCTTACTAACATCTGAAGCCAATTCAATTTAGCAGGTTCATCTGCATGTATAAACTTATATGTTCCAACATGATAAAATTATGGAGATAAACTGTATAATTTTATTAAATGTTGTTATATGTTTCAAGACTTCTAATCCCTTCATCAGCCAAAGATTTACACTAATTTAATTTTTAAGTTTAAATGTAAAAGTGCAATGCAGACTTGTCAAACAAGGAAAAAAACTACTAAACTGCTATGTGATATCTGTCGTCATGTTTGGCAATGATTGCTAAACAATCTCCTCAAAGATGAATAAGAAACATGAAGCAACAGAAATGTGGTTCTACAGAAGAATGCTGAGGATACTGTGGACTGAACATGTGAGCAACAACAAAGTTTTGAAGAAAATGGAAACAAAAATTAAACTAATACTTACCATCCAGAAGAGACAGTTGAGGTTTCTGGGGTGCATAATGAGGAAGGATGGCTTGGAAAATCTGATACATATGAGGCAAGATGGACAAAGGAAAACAATGCATGACATTCTTAGTGAGTTTGACTAAATGGATGGCAGAATAGGGCTTATGAGAAATGACAGAATGACAAAGTTTATTAGGAGCTACAAGGGATGGTAAGTTGTGGAGAGCCATGATTGCCTACATCCTGAGGGGACATGGTTCATTAAGAAAGAAGAATGAACAATAGTCCAAAATTCTTAGAAAGTGATGAAGAAAATGGGGGGAAAAAAGCAGTGTTTGCGTAGTAAATAGTCATTATAATTCTGCTAAATTATTTTTACATCCTTAAGACTGCCATATATGATGTTGACTTAATAAAACTCCTCTTTAACAATCTAGAATCCATTTTTAAAATCCAATTTGGAGGATGTATCCACCCTATAAGTGATAGAGAACAATCAAAATGACATTTCTGTTTACACTTATAATTATTTGAAAAATGTTTTAAAATTAAGGAATTTTTATCAACAACCAAATGTGCCACTGAATGTCCAGGAAACTAACATGACATTCAACCAATATAACTTATTTTACAGCTAGCACATTCAAATTTATATACAACATGGGCTAAAGAATCAGTGGGTATTTTGTCTTTATTTGAAAAGAAAGAACCCATTTTCTGACTTGTGAAAGTAATCATCAAGAAGACACCACCCATACAAAATATTTTAACCAAATCATTAATTTTAAATTTAAGAGTTTACAGAATAGTATGAAAGTTTAAAACATTTTGGTGCCTGCTTGACATTTTTCTTTTGATTAATGTTGATATTCATACATCTTAACTAATTATAAAAGTCATTTCTCAATCACAGCTATGAACCAAATACGAAAAGTCTTTTTTAAACTATAAATTTTTCTGTATACCAACTACCCAAAAACTAATTCGACTAAAGACTATTTTTACTCCTTTTTGACTCTTGAATTCATGTAGATATGTTTGTTAATACAAATGATTTCTTTAACAGGCATGAGACCATGTTTTATTTTATTATTGTTTGGAATTTGGACAGATTTTTAATATAAAAAAACCCAGAAAAACAAAATTACCTACATACACATACATATATACAAATGAGTAACAGATAAGTGATCAAGATAAAGTCAAAAATTAACTAAAAAGAACAATGAATTTTTTTATATATTTTTTTTTATTTAATATATCAAACAAAAAAATATGAGCTGGAAAGAATTTAGAAAATGATGCCAGACAAAGTTTCTCTCACATACACAAAAATTTTTGATATATAAGAATAAATTAAATTATGCATATATATAAGAATATTACTTACAGAAGCCATTGTTTATAAGTTTCTTTCTTTGAGAGTGATTCATAAATAATAGAGCCATATGACAAAGCTGGACAGCAAAAAGAAATCTCTAAAGATGTACTCGATGAACAGATAAAAATAAAGCTAAAGTAATTTTTCAATTTATCATATAACGTCCCATCTTTTTTAGGATAATAGATATCAAACAACTGTTACAAAAAACATGTACAGTTATCCTTATTTAATAGCACATAAACTGCATGTAAGCACATGCACTTACCATTATTTAATAGCAATATCATTATTAAGTAAGTATTAAAAGGATGGAAATGTTTCAAGATATTTTAATTAAGAATCTGATTTTCCAATGTGTATTCACTGTAATTTCCAAGGAAAAAATGCTGGGAACTTTAAACACATCAAATACATTTATTCGTTTACATGGTCAGATCAAAAAGTATCAGGACTTGCTATCAAAAGAAAACTACAACACATACCAATTCAATATTTAATCTCCTTCAGAGTAGTCTCCTTCTGAAGCCACACACACACTATCTAGTGTTGTTTCCATTGAAGGAAGTAATCCTGGAATTCCTTTCTTGGGATAGCAAGCAAGCAGCTGCCTCATTGCATTCTCTTACATTTTCTCCATTTTTTGAAATCTCATTCCTTTCAAATGGAGTTTTATTTTGCAGAGGAAAACGTTGCAAGGCATAAGATCCGGGGAATATGATGGTTGCCAGACCTAGGGAATTTTGTGCTTGGCCAAAAACTATTATACAAGCAATGATTGCCGATGGAATCTCTGTGGTGTGGTGAGATGATCACACTCTACACACTTTCATCCAAAAACACTACTATAAACAATGGATTGAGTGAGAACATTATAACTTAGTGTGTACGCGTCTATCTGTCACAAAGGGCTTCAATCAGTGTACTTTAGCTCTATTAATATAGCAACAGCCTTGATACTTTTTGACCAGATTTCATATGTTGTAATAGGTGAATTTGAAACTAATTCCTCAGTCTACTTGGTAATATTACAACGTATGAAGTCAACTCTCTCTGAAGGTTTCATGATTCTAGAAGAGAGGTTTAGATTTTTCTCTACCTCATATGAGAATTTTTTTTGTTTTTTTTTAACTTTGTCATGTTGTCTTTGACTAAAATTTACAGAAAGTTATGTTAGCATCAAGAAAGACTAACACTGCCAAGGGGAAAACATTTATAGATATCACGGTAAAAACATGAAAGTGACATCAGATAACTGATAACTTAGAGCTATGATGAGGGCGCTGAAAATTTTCCCTCACCCACTTCCTCAAATCTGATCAAATGACTAAACATTAGATTCTTCTTTGGTATAATTTTTTGGTAAGAGCAATAGATTTTCAAAATCTTGTGTATGTACATACTTATACACACACACGTGTGTGTGTGTGTGTGTGTGTGTGTGTGTATATATATATATATATATATATATATATATATATATTGGTTGATTTCTGGTGGACACCAAGTTTTAAACTATTGTTAATGTGATGTAGCATGATATCTAGGACAGGTAAAGAATTGTATCCTTCATTTTTGTATGTTCAACTTTGTTTAGTTTATCTACAAGTTCAGATAAATCAATATCACAAGGATAGATTAATAGAATATCATCAATATATCAATATTGTTCGGATAAAATATTTAGGAAAAAACAGGGTGCAATGAGTAAATTGTCACTATTTTATAGTTTTAATTTCACACATGCATGCATGTTTATTTATAAGTTGGTTAACTACACAGTATAGTAGGGTCATTTGGGCACTTTTTGTGAGAAAAAGAGCACTATGACAGGATTCAGTGCGACATTTATTATTAAAAAAATTATTATAAAAAAGCTGATAAATGAAATATACATATTTATATTTCATATTTAATAATAATTTTTAAATAATTTAAGTAATTGTATTACATTTGTTTTAAAAGAAGTATAGTCTATAAGTAATTAAAATTAAAAATAATATTTTAAAATTATAGTTCAATACGACATATTCATATACAAATAACCCTTTTCGAAAAAATCTTTATGTATACGAGTACAAATTTAACAGCGAAACAAAAGTGCTGAAAAACTTTTTGTTGTTGATAAAGACCAGACAACATCTGATTGAATGGATGTTATCATTCGTTGAAAAAGGCACCCCTACCTTAAATTAACTTCTTTTTGAAAGTAACTCATATTTTGATACAATAGTTGTCAGTGAAAATCTACACCCTACCACCCCTTGTCAAAATGATTGAGTTTTACTCTATCCTTAGAAACTAATATTATGAATGTATGTGCTTATAAAACTCAGTAAATTTCAAAGTAAGTTATTAATCCAAAATTCGCTTGAAAATGAAACAGGACTATGGACTTTAATTTAATTCTGTAATTGAATTTGAAGTTTTTAGTTTCTGTTTTTGAAATATGGTGATTCCTGTGCAGCAATGGAACCATATTTTTAAATCAGTAAATTTATAATATATATTTAGTTGTATCTGAAATTTTACATTATATGACAATTGTCACTTCTTTGCAGAAAAAGACCATCTCTTCACTTCGTAGCTTATTATCTTATTATTTCCATCAATTTTACTAGAGCTAACACTTTGCTATGTGCCCGTAAGTGATTCTTAAGGTCAGCTTCCCTTTTATAACTTCTCTTACATACGTGGCAAACAAAGTTTTGCTTTGTTACCTATGTTGCAAACTTGACTGTCCTTGTGTACAATCATGTGATGTTTGAGTCCCACAACAGACTTATAAACTTGACACAAAACTATATATATATATATATATATATATATATATATATATACACACACACACACAGAGATGACCCTCAGGAGTGAGCAGTACTAGAGAATTTTAGAGTCTTGTCTGCTTCCTTCTGCTGAAAGGGTGCAAATCGACCCCACCAACCTCATTTTTATGCAGCACAATGCTCTCTGTCACAAATCAAAATTGATGAAGGAATACTTTGATGAGAAGCAGGTGAGTGTTATGACATGGCTGCCCCAATCTCCTGACTTCAACCCCAAAGAAAACTTATGAAGCATTGTAAAGTAGAGACTCTCGAGAAAGCAGTTGAGCAACAAAGAGGATTTGACTGTAAATTTCATGGAATTCAACGCTTGGAAATGAGATTTGTCAGAACCTAATCAAGTCAATGACAAAAAGGGTTGAAAAGGTTATTCAAAATAAAAGAGGACCCAAAAATTATTAAATATTTCAAACTATATTACCTATTATAAATAAATTATACCTTTATTATTATTTATTTAAAGCTGTTCGGTTATGCTTTTATTGATTACTAGTTGCAGGAAATAAGTGAGTCACTTTTTTGCACAGAGTTTTTCCCTAAATCTCATTTATATCCAAAATTATAATTATCAATAGAATACCTTAGGGTGAGTAAACTTTTTTACTAGGTGGTCAGGAAGGGTCTTTATATTAGTAAGATTAAAAATTATTTTGACCCCAAAAACAATAGTTGTAAAATCTTTAAGTAAAAAAAATCAGATGAGTCATTTTTATCAAACAGCACTGTATACACACACACACAATGAAATGGACTAAGTCTGACAAATATTTAATATATTTTCTGTTTATACATTATTTTAATAGATAAAATTTCTTTAAGTAAATGCTCTGTCTTCTTTTAATTAAACAGTCTTAAATTACTGGCCTGAATATTCAGGAAATTTTATAGAAAATATGCATTCTCCAACAGGAATTGAACCTGTGTCCTACACAGAACCATCAATTGATCTGACGTGCTATAGCACTTAGCTATATAGAAGCATCTGGTTAGCAAAGTCCAAATT